AAAAAAAAAAAAAAAATAAAATAAAATAAAATAGTTACTGTGGTAAATATCATGAATAGTTTATCACAATTCAAAATAAAATAAGAATAAAAATAAATCATCAGAGATATTATTGAAGTCCTTGTGGACTCTTCCCTAATCCCATTCCCTACCTTCCTTCTCTGGAGGCAAACATCCTGAATTTCAGGTTTATCAAACCTAGGTAGTTTCAAAACTCTTAAACATTATTAAGAAATACAACACAGCCTGGACACAGTGGCTCATGCCTGTAATTCTAGAACTCTGGGAGGCCAAGGCAGGTGGATTGCTTGAGATCAGGAGTTTAAGACCAGCCTGAGCAAGACCAAGACCCCATCTTTACAATAGACACACACACACACACAAACATATTAAAGTATCAAATTCCTCTGGAAGGAGCTACAGAAAGGTAGCTAAAGTGTCTTGGCAGGGCCTATAGTCCCAGCTACTTGGGAGGCTGAGGCAAGAGGATCACCTAAACCTAAGAGTTTGATGTTGCTGTGAGCTAGGTTGATGCCATGGCACTCTACCCAGGGCAACAGTACCCAGGGTGCTCTTTCTGACTCAGGCTGGGCTCTGTCTCAAACAAACAAACAAACAAACAAACAAACAAACAAAAAAAGGAAATACAACCAGAGCCAGAACAGAAAACCCTACAAAGCAAATGTATAACATAGTGAATTATTATAAATCCAATAATTTTGTAATCTCCACTTAAGCAAAGAAGAAATTACCCAGTTTCTCCCAAAGCCCTTTGTGCCCAGCCCCTTCCTTTGCCCCAAAGGGCAAGTATCCTGAATTCTGTAGTCATCACTTCTTTTTATTTTTTTTGCAGTTTTTGGCTGGGGCTGGGTTTGAACCTGCCACCACTGGCATATGGGACTGGTGCCCTACCCTTTTGAGCCACAGGTGCCGCTCTGTAATCATCACTTCTTACACTTACACATTTTTATAAATTTATTCTCTTGCTACATATATGTAGGTACCCAAGCAACACATTGTTTCCCTGCACAGGCAGCCATTATATGAATTTGGGATTTGTCATTCCCCTGAGAATCTTTATATTATTAAGGAATACATCCATTTGTGGTAGAAGTATATAGTATTATTTTGCATATTTTAATACTTTTTTTTTGAGACAGAGTCTCAAGCTGTCATCCTGGAATGCTATGGTGTCATTGCTCACAGCAACTTCCAAGTTGGGCTCAAGCAATCCTCTTGCCTCAGTTTTTTCTATCTATCTATCTATCTATCTATCTATATATATATATATTTTTTTTTTTTTTTAAGAGACAGAGTCTCACTTTGTCACCCTCAGTAGAATGCTTTGGTGTCACACAGCTCACAGCAACCTCCAACTCCTGGGCTTAGGCAATTCTCTTGCCTCAGCCTCCGGAGTAGCTGGGACTACAGGCTCCCGCCACAATGCCTGGCTATTTTTTGTTGCAGTTTGGCTGGGGCTAGGTTTGAATATGCCACCCTCAGTACCCTACCCACTGAGCCACAGGCACTGCCCCTAGTTTTTTCTATTTTTAGTAGAGACCCAGTCTCACTTTTGCTCAGACTGGTCTGGAACTCATGAGCTCAAGCAATCAACCCACCTTGGTGCTAGGATTACAGACATGAGCCACCTTGCCCAGCCCTCTCATTAACTTTTTATAAACATAAAGTTGGGTGCAACCCACTAAACTTATATCTTCTGACATATTCTATTCTATGCTTTCATTTTTAAAAAGTTGTTGCAATACACCAAATTAATGTTTGGGTTTTTTTTTTTTTTTGAGACAGAGCCTCAAGCTGTCCCCCTGGGTAGAGTACCGTGGCATCACAGCTCACAGCAACTTCTAACTTCTGGGCTCAAGTGATTCTCCTGCCAACATTGTTGTTTGGCAGGCCCAGGCTGGATTTGAACCCGCCACCTTAGGTGTATGTGGCTGGCGCCTTAGCCACTTGAGCCACAGGCACCGAGCCAAATTAATGTTTTTTTATATTTTTATTCTATGTATTTTATGTATTATCTGGTCTGTCTTTTTTTTTAAGACAGAATCTCACTCTTCTTAGCAAAGTATCTCAAGAATGGAAGAAAAAGTATCCAATGTACTCAGTCCTACTATGAAACTAATTTATAGCTTTCATATGAAAGCTATAACCCAATTATAGTCCAAGAATGT